AGTCAGTTTGCCAGTCATTGTAATTTACTGTTAGTCAGTGTATCAGTCACTGTTAGTGTGCCAGTCACTGTAAGTTCCAGTTAGTGTTCCAGTTATTGTAATTCACTGTTAATCAGTGTGTCACTGTCAGTCACTGTCAGTCAGTGTTAGTCAGTGACCGTTAGTAAGAGTGCCAGCGTGCCAGTCCTTCTGTCTCTCAGGTGTTGTGCTCATACCTTGATGGTGTCCAGCGCCAGCTCCACCACAGCACATTGCTTCGGAGAGAGAGACTTGGGCTCTTCCCGCACCATGTGGTCCTGAGAGAGAGAGAACGTCTCTTTAGCATTTCTCACGCCGGGCAATATCGTGCTTCTATATTCATGGGAAAGAAACCAGTCTCCTGTACCTTAAGCTTGGACAGCTGACCCAGCTCCTTGGCGGCGTTAAAGATCAGCTGTGTGCCCTGGAGAGAGAGGTGAGCAGAGTGAAGGACTGTGATGCTGGGGCAGTGCGCTGCTCGGACTGGCACACAGACTGCATGCCACACAGCGCCACCAGGAGGTGACACTGGGAGAGTCGAGAGAAAGACACACACCCGGGCACTCACCTACACGTAGGCACAATCACACACAATCACCCTCAAAATCACATACACACACTCACCCACACTTAGGCACAATCACACACAACACTAACCCACAAGTGAGCACAATCACACACACTCTCCCACACTTAGGCACAATCACACACAACACTAACCCACAAGTAAGCACAATCACACACAATCACACATGTAGGCACACAAGGTTGTGCTTCCATTCTTGTACACATTGCCCACTGACTCTCATTTTATGTTTAATTACTAGTCTACACAGCAGGGTTCAAGTACAAAGAAGAACGTGCTTCTAAAGTCAGTGTTTCGTTTTTTAACAATGTCACGTGTCTTTGAGGTCCTGTTACTGTGTTTAGACAGACTCATCATGCATGCCATACATGCATACACATGCACTCACACACATGTTCACACATACTCATACACACATTCACACTCACACAGGTTCACACATATGCACTCACACACATGCACACACACATATACATATACACAGATATACAGTCACACACACACGCGTTCACACACACGTTCACACATACACAATCACACACACACACGTTCACACATACGCACACATGCATGCACACACGTACAAATGCACAAGTAAGCATGCACAGCACGCACACAGTCACACGTGCACAGTTACTCGCCCATCTCTCTCCCACAGCCCCTCCACACGCACAGAGACAGACCACCAGCTAACCCGCACACAGGGCGTGCATACAGGCACACAGCAGCAGGGGGCGCTGCGAACAGGAGAGGTTACAGAGGTCGGACGACAGCGTGGGCACACAGACGGGACACAGAGCTGGAGGAGCAGCTGACCGGGGCGCCTGACAGTGGGTCCGATGGGATGGTGGGATTCAGGGATATATCACCTCATCAGGAGCCCTGCGCACACTGGCGAATCTCTACATGTCAATCGGTACGAAATCCTGAATCAACACGAGCAATATCTGCACGGGAAGCAAGGTCTTGATGCTGTTTGCATCTCAGGGGCAAATCTACAGTCAGTCAGGGTGGCCGACGGGCTCTGAGGACGGTCACTGAGTACTGCTGTCCCAGCCCAGACGGGACTGACAGAAAGGACTGGTGTCTCTGCCATTGATGCCCTGACTCCTGGGCTTGATTTCAAGCTAAGTGACAGAGGTGGGGCGGGGCAGTTAGCAGAGAGAATCAGAATCAGACATCTGTCAGTCTCTCCCACCCTCACAGCAAGCAAGCTAGCAGTGTTCTTCTCATGTTTTACATCAGTTAATTACATACAGTGGCCAACTGTGTCCACCAGAATTCACCCAAAGGCCAGAGTAACAGAAGACACAGAGAAGAAAAGGAGGGACACAGAGAGAAAGGCAGATGGGGGGGGCGACAGGACACATTGAGCTACAATGTGAATTCTTACATCGCTGTGACACGCAAGCTTCACTCTGCCCTGCAAAGAGAGGACAATTAATGACATCACGGAGAGTCGGCGAGCCCCGCCTCCAAGCCCTGATTGGCTGCCCGGGATCTGGCTGCCTGCTGCTTCGCCACCTGTCCTCTGAGCTCCCGCAGCCAGCTGGCACCGTGCTTTTCCACTGCGAGCCTGCTCGACCAATCAGCGCTGCCCACCGCGGGTGTATCACACCTCACCGGGGTTTTTTTTTTAATGGAAGTGCAAATGAAATATTTTACAGAACGGCGAAGAAACCCTCAAAATGCTTGCAGAGCAGCGGCTTACAATATCCCTCTGAGAAAGAAGAGATGCACTTCACTGCTTCTCTGTGCAGTTTCCTCATTACAGTCAAAGCAAAGTGAACGCTGGGAAAATGAGGCTGTTGCTCTTCTGGAAGGACAGGGGCTCTGTTAACCCTCCAAACACAACAGATCCTTTCTGCAGAGCCTGTCGGTCCGTCAGACAGGAGGTCAGACACCCAGACGCCCTGTCCGCTCGCTCATCAGTGCCCAAAGCACAGCGTCGGCCTGAGACCACTGGGATGGCTGGACATACTGCAAAGCAAGACGGCCCTCCCCCAGAGACATTCCCAACAGAGCAGAAACCAAACCATATCGTTATCTTAGCTGACATTTCCAAACCTGTGTTGTAAACCAGTGCCTTAGCGAAATGCAAAACATCTCAATACGCCGGTCTTTCAAGTGGAATGCAAAAAAAAGACACTGGAATTCATCAGCAGGGAAATGTAAAGACCTTTAGCAGAGTGAGTAGTGGCGCCTTATTTACCCTCTGAAGAGAGACCAAGGGGTGTGAACCCCTTTTCACTCTCTGTAGAGAGATCAGAGGGTGTGGACCCCCTTTTGACCCTCTGTAGAGAGATCAGAGGGTGTGGACCCCCTTTTGACCCTCTGTAGAGAGATCAGGGGGTGTGGACCCCCCTTTTAACCCTCTGTAGAGACACCAGGGGGTGTGGACCCCCCTTTTGACCCTCTGTAGAGAGACCAGGGGGTGTAAACCCCCATGTGACCCTGTCACAATACCCTGGCAACGCTGTCCCGGATGGGCGAGGAGGGAGCAGGGGGACAGGAGAGGGGGGGTTCCTCACACTGAACCCCAACGCCGCAGTGCTGATCACCGCAGCGGTGAACCAGGTGAGCACACAATGCAGAGAACGACACCACGGGGACAGACCGGGAGAGAGAGAGCGCCCCCTTCAGGGCGAGCGCGAGAAACAGAGAGCGGAGAGGGAGAGGGGGGGGCCGACTGGCTGGAGCAGTCAGGAATGCACCATGCAGCTGGGGGGAGGGGGCAGGTTCCCCCCCCCAGAGAGAGGGAACGAGGCGGAGGGAGAGAGAGATGAGGGGGGTGGGTGGGGGAAGAAGCAGGGATGAGTGGACTGGGAGAGGAGGACAGCAGAGGAGAGGGGATGAGAGGAGGTTTAACTGGCGAGGGGGGTGGGCTGGGGCATTTGCAGAGAGGGGGGTATTGGCAGCCACACACAACAAGGACTGACCGACTGCACCGAGGCACTGCGGACAGACAGACAGACACACAGAGTGCCGTACTTACAATCATCTGTGGAGTGCGGGCAGAGGCAGCGAGATGTGACAACCAGAGAGAAGGGTCAGTGACACAGCAAAGAGCCCCAGATCAGCCGCAGGCGGGGGAGGGGGGAGAGGGGGCGCGGCCGGCCCGTCTCCCCCCCCCTCGCTGCTGGCGCCCTGTCGCTGCTCCGGCCGGCCCCTCCTTAGAGCCCCTTCTCCACGCCGCGCAGTGAGCCCCCCAGACTCACTGTCCGGCTGCCCGTCTGGCTCTAAAGGGGGACGGCTATAAAGGCCGAGCCCCGTGTCCGGCCCCCCTGACCACACTTTCGCCCCCCTTGCTGGTCACCGTCTGCCACGCCCCCCCGGTCTTCCTCCGACCCCCCTCACACCCCCAGCACAACCGGTCTGTCCCTGCCCTGCGGCCCACTGCTTCTCTACACTCTATGGAGCGCCCGATGTAGAAATTCAGCCACCAGGGCGGCGCTGTTGCGAGGCAAGCCAAAGAACCCCAAGCCAACATCTCACCCATCCACTCCTGGAAGATCCTGCCCAGTATAGTGCCAACTCCTGGAAATCCTGGTTTCCCCTCGGCTAATGGGTAAGATCTGAATTAAACTCCTGTCCCCTGTAAGAAAACTACCCTCCAACCCGAGCCTTTCCCCAGGGACCTGGTATTTGGAATGAGCCTGTTATTATCCAGCAACTATTCCAGCTTTCTGACATTGTGATCTATAACAGAGACTCTTAATTGCAGACTTCCCCTCAATTTCTCAGCATCTGAACGTACTGTGGTGGCTGCTAACTGTCTCATCATTATGTAGGTCTCTTTCCTTTACCATTGAACCGGCGGAGGAACACCGTAGCATTGCTGTAAGGGATGGTGACGCGGCAGCAGTGACCAGAGGAAGAGGGATACGAGAGTGTGAAAGCATGCCGGGACACCTTGAGGCTGAGGAGCATTCTCCGACAGGAAGCCTGAGCAGGAATTCACATATCACTTCCTTGCAGTTTTTTGAAGCCCAAAATCAGGGAGAGATATGGGGCTCTTTTAAAAAAAAAAAAAGAACAGAAATAAAAAGTAAAATAAATACCAGGGTGGTTTCTAATCCAGCTGTCACAGGTATAGCCTGGGATATTAAGTTGCAGTTCTCTCTTTTTCAATATTATTTTTAGGATTAAACTCCTGCGGCCAAACTAATGTATTGATCGTCTGTCTGCTACACCAGTGTGACTGCTGGACTGGAAGACAGCCTGTAGCTGGGGACACAATGACATGATGCGCTTCCTGTAAGGTGTGAGGGGAGGAATCGATCTGATGGTGCACACTTGAAGGGAAGGGGTCTCTCTGTACAATCTGAGGACTCTCGTCAGTGTGGGGGGTTCTGGGGGGGGTTCAGAACTTGTTGGCTCATGAGTTTCCCCATCCGCTCCCCTGAAGCTTCAGTTGTGCAATCTCAGGAGCGTGTGAGACGTCTGGCTTTTTCGCTGTGGGTGTTTGAATCTTCTGGATTACTTTTGCATCGTTCAGAACTCAGAAAACAGGGGATTTAAAAGAACAACGGAGAGAAAAAGTATTTAGAAGAGGTCTCCAGCTGGCAGATCCCGGAGAGGATCAGACTCGTTGCACAGCGGGAGTCTGGTCTGGTTCCACCTGACTGCACTCCAGGCTCGGGCTCGGACACTGCCCGTCCTGCGAGCGAGGTGCAGGTGCTCTCTCCAGATCTCCCCCCCGGGCCCGTGCACAGCCTGGGCAGTGCGCACGTGGTGGGGGCAGAGACGCCCTGCTCAGGCCGGGGCTCTCTCTGAGCGGGCCTGACACAGAGAGCCGAACATGAGTGTGAGTGCTCACTGCCAGGGTCAGAGTGCGCCACGCAACCACAGTCCCTCTGCCAGGGGGGGCCAATCGCCTGCGGAGGATGTGTGGAGGACTGTTACGCGCAACACTGACTCTGCAAACTATGACTCTGTCAGGACTGCAGCCGGGTCAAGCTCCAGCCTTGCAGAACCTTGATCTTGAGGAATGCTAAGCCAAAGAAAGACCCTGCAACTCAAAACTGGCAACCCACTAAAGCTAAGCAGGTGTGAGCCTGGTCAGTACCTGGATGGGAGACCTCGTGGGAAAAACTAAGGTTGCTGCTGGGCCAGCAGGGGGCGCTCACCCTGTGGTCCATGTGGGTCCTAATGCCCAAGTATAGTGATGGGGACACTATACTGTAAACAGGGGCTGTCCTTCAGATGAGACGTAAAACCGAGGTCCTGACTCTCTGTGGTCATTAAAAATCCCAGGGTGTCTCGAAAAGAGTAGGGGTGTAACCCCGGTGTCCTGGCTGAATTTCCCATTGGCCTTTACCAATCATGGCCTCCTAATAATCCCCTATGAATCTATAAATTGGCTACATCATTCTGCTCTCCTCCCCACTGAGAGCTGATGTGTGGTGAGCGTTCTGGCGCACTATGGCTGCCGTCGCATCATCCAGGTTGGGCTGCACATTGGTGGTGGTGGAGGGGATCCCTATTACCTGTAAAGCGCTTTGAGTGGAGTGTCCAGAAAAGCGCTATATAAGTGTAAGCAATTATTATTATTATTATTACTGTTTGCCACATTCACAGCTTTGCAGGCATGCAGCTTTTTCCACAGGAAGATGCCTGTTCTTCACTTAAACAAGCCCTCTCTGGGAACACCTGAAAACCTGCTGCTCCAGCCCCCTGTGAACACCTAGCGGGTCAGGTCAAGTCCAGGCAGGGGCTAGAGTTAGTGTTAGGAGTGGGGCTGACCCTGAGTGGCCAGGTCACTCTGCGGGGTTTCTAAGGGGATCTGTGTGGGCTTGTCTGTGCTCACCGTCTGGTCTGTGAGGGGCGGCAGTACGATGGTCTTCTCCATGGTGTTCATCACCAGCTTCCACAGCTCCTTCAGCACACGTTTCAGCACAGTCTTCTCGCAGATCTTGGCAAACAGGGTCAGGCTGAGGGAGGCAGAGGAGAGACAGGAAAGAGGGGGGAGACAGCAGATTGAAACAAAACTCACACTGGCCTTGCACTCTCCGTGCTACAGCAAATGGGATCATCTTTAGTCGTCTCAACTCCCTCTGCAGGACTGTAACCTGTAACCTCTCAGGCCCTGAGTGTGTGTCTGTGTATGCGCAGTCTGCCCTCACTTGCTGTCCAGGAAGTCCATGATGGGCTGCAGCACGTTGTCGGCGTCCTGGGCCACACTGCTGCAGGCGCTGGCCGGCACGTTGCCCGTACCCTTCACCTGGCTCAGGATATCGCCCATCTGCTTCACGCACTCTTCGATGTGGGGCTGGAAACTGGGATGGGGATGCAGAGCAGGAAGAGGGAGTGAGCAGGAGGGGCTGGAGTGAGCGCCGGCCTTGCGATCGCTGTCCCTCGTCCCTCACCTGGTGGCGAAGACCCTGCTCAGGTCGTCCAACACGTTGTTGAGCTTCACCTGCAGCTCCTTCAGGATGTCGCTGGCCTCCACGTTCAGCTGCAACACAGATGCACAGAGGCCTTCAGAGACGGGCAGCCAGGAGGCATGACTATGCAGAGGGCAGGCCTGGCCAAGTCCAGTTCGGCACAGTATAGTCCAGCTTAGCCAAGCACAGCTTGGTGCAGCATAGTCCAGCATAGTCCAGCCAAACCCAGCCTGGCCCAGCTTGGCCCAGCACAGTGCAGCCCAGCCCAGCACAGACCAGCCCAGTCCAGCCCAGTCCAGCCCAGCCTGGCCCAGCCTGGCCCAGCCCAGTACAGTCCAGTACAGTCCAATGCAACGAGCAGGTCTGGCCCAGCCCAGCTCGGCCCAGCACAGTCCAGCCCAGTCCAGCACAGTCCAGCCCAGCTAAGCACAGCTTGGTGCATCATAGTCCAACCCAGCCCAAACTGGCCCAGCTAAGCTCAGACCAGCACAGTCCAACCTACCTGGGTCAAGCACAGCCCAGCCCAGCTCAGCTCAGCTCAGCTCAGCCCAGCCCAGCCCAGCCCAGTCCAATCTGGCCCAGCCCAACCCAGCCCAGCCCAGCCCAGAGCGACTCTCACGTCTTTGCCTCCCATGGCCTCGAACATCTTCTCCAGCTGGACGCGCAGCTGCTGGATGTTGTTGATGAGGATGCAGGGCTGCGGAGACACAAGGCGGCAAGGGGCCGTTACACCGCGCGGCTCTGACTCGCCGCCTCGCCAAGCGCCGGTGTCGCCGGGGGACCGGGGCGCCACGAGAGTGACACTCACCACCTTCTCCTTCGAGCAGTAGCTGGCGAAGTCCTTGGCGATGATGTCAGCATAGGAGAGCAGCACGTTGCTGATGGTCTGAGGGAGAGAACGGGGAGAAATAATCAGAAACAAACACCCAGGCATTTAGAAAGCATGGAGAGATACTGAGGTCCAGAAGGAACCAGGGGATGAACTGAGGCTTCAATAGAGCAGAGTGACTGACCCCAGGACACCAGGTCCAGCTCTTTCTGACGTTGACACTGTTTGACACCGCAACAAGAAACTGTGCATTGTGGGTAAAAGGATGAGTGACGCATCTGACTAGGCCACACAGTGGGCGCGAGGGGTCACACGGCGCCTCACCTTGGCGAATCGCCTCATGTAGTGCCCCACAATCTGGGGGTCCGGACACTCCAGCTTCTTAATGATCTCGAAGCTCTGGTTGAGCTGGGAGAAGACATCCACCACCGAGCAGGAGAACAGGGCGTGCTCCGAGGTCTGCTGGAACTGAAGGAGAAGGAAAGTGAAGTGAGTGGGGAGCAGGACAGGGGAGTGGGGACAGCAGGGAGGGAGAGAGGAGAGAGAGAGGGAGGCAGGAAAGAGAGGTGTGGGGGGGGTCTGCTTTACCCCATCCTTCTTGTCCCGCTCCAGCGCCCCGTGCAGGAAGTCCCGCGAGACTTCCTCGTTCTCATCCAGCCACTGGATCACAAACGGCTCGAACCACCTGTGAACAGGAGAGCATGATGGGATAGGATGGGGAGCCGGCCAATGGCACGGCTGGCAGATCAAACCTAGGTGAGGAGTGGCCACCGCAGCCCAGTGAAAAGCCCATCCTACTCCCCAGGCAGTGGCGGCTCCTGTCCGCCAGCAGGGGGCGGTACTCACGTGGGGTACTCGGGCACGCGGCTCTTGAAGAAGGGCAGGTCCTTGACGTACTCGTTGTACAGCCACTTCACCTTGAAGTGCAGGTTCATGTAGTCGGCGCTCTTGCACAGGCGGTTCTTGTCGTGCTCTGAGATGGGAAGAGGCAGACACACACGCGCCCACGCACACACAGACACAGACACACACACGCACACATGCAAACACACACACGTACACATACATACACACGTACACACATGCACGCACACACACACACACACGCACATGCACACGCACACACAGACACAGACACAGACACAGACACACACACGAACGCACACGCACACATACATACACACGCGCACACATGCATGCACACACGCGCACGCGCACGCGCACGCACACACACACACACACACACACACGCGCACACACACACACACACAGCCTGGTGAGCAACATCAGCAGAAACCTGATCTCCAATCTGAAGCTACCAGTTTAAACCACTGGCTAACAGACTATCATCCAAGACCTGGATACTAAATAAAACTCTGACTGGCCTTCCCTTCGCAAATCCTAGAAACCCTCCATCCCTGGTGGCCATTTTCCACTGTGTGGATGTAAGACCTCCAGCAAACAGGAAGCTGGCATACAGCACTGTCGTGGGAATTTTGAGATTGGATACTGGTGTCAATGTGGAGCCAAACTGGAGCCAAACTGGCTACAACTACACCAAAAGAACCGACTCATCTGGTGAGAGGCAGAACAAACCCAAACCCCCTAGTGGCAGGGCAGGAGAACTCCACTCACCCTCCATGGCGTATTTCATGTCCTGAGCGAACAGGTTCCACATGACCTCAGCGCTGATCTTCCCCACGTTGAGCTCCTGGGGGAACCTGCAGAACAGAGGGCGTTCCAGCTGAGCACAGGGACTGGGAAGATTCTCACTTACTGGTGTGAGTGGTTTTCAAACGCCATGACCATTGCATCCACAAGCAGCACACCATCTGTGACCTGGAGTTTCATCAGCTATATAGTCTCCATCATTATTGATTCTGGCAAGTACGTTCACGAGAGTATAGTGGTCTTACACTGCAGAGCAGCCATACTGCATAATGAATAAAGAAAAACCTACAGGCCATGGCAAAGATGCCAGGGGTTAACTCACTGGTTGAGGCAGGGAGTGTAGGAGTTCTTGTCCTCCTCGATGATGGACACGATGAGCGTGATGAGTTTGGACCAGAAGTCCAGGTTTTTGATGCTGGGCCCCTGTTCCTCTGGGGGCAACTCCCCTTTCTTCGACTGTCGGGAGAACGGGCAAGGGACAGAGTCACCCACAGACTGTGCCTGGGCACAGAGCGCAGAGCACGTGGCACAGCCAGAGTACAGGGGCAAAGCAGGGGTGAGACACGGTACACCGAAGCACAGCCACAGAGAGAGGGAGGAGAGAGAGGACAGAGAGAAGAGAAGACAACCCACCAACCACCAATTTGAATCTGGCTCCAAATATTTGAAAGTGGAATCCAACCCATTGCCCTATGCGGCAGTGAGGTGTGGGGTCCCCTCACAGACCAGGAGTACACTCAATGGGACAAACACCCCACAGAAACTCTGCACATGGAGATCTGTAGAAACATCCGTGTGCAGAGAAAAACACCTAACAATGGGAGCAGGACCGAATTAGGCCAATACCCACTATTAATAAACATACAGAAAAGAGAAATTAAGTATTGACTACAACTAAAAAACAGCAACCAAAACTCCTACCACCACAAGGCCCTGCTGAGCCAAGAGCTGAGCCCAACAGAGCCCCCTGAGCCAGCTGGTCCTGAGGCTCACTGGCCTGAGCCACACCGACACCAGCCAGCCTCAGGACAGCACTGCTAGAGCATCACAACTCAGACCCAAGCACATCACAGCACAGATCACACAGCGATTTCTCACACACACACAAAAACAACAAACTGGAATACTACAAAATCCTAAATAGACAAAACATAATGGCCAAATATTTGAACTACATAAGTAACAGCAAAAAGAAACAGATCCTGACGAAGTACAGGCTCAGTGACCACAGCCTGGCCATAGAAACTGGGCGACACAGACCTGGCTGCCCAGAGAGGACAGGCTGTGCTCCCACTGCCAGCGGGGAGAAATAGAGACAGAGGTGCACTTCCTACTGCACTGTGACAGATATTCTGGTATTAGAGAAACATTCTTCCCTAAATTTACAAATCTAATTCCAGAATTCCCACACCTGTCAGAATCAGAACAGCTCCCAATCCTACTGGGAGTGGGAGGAGGGAACTCAGTTGAACTGGCAGCCCAGTATGTGATCTCTTGTCACACCCTGAGGAACAGTGAGCCTGTCTCCCAATAATGCTCCATATGTTTATATGTAAATATCTTATGATTGTGTCTGCATTGAAAATGTCTAATTGTCTGTAGATTTTTGTTTTATGTTAATTATATTTGTTTTGCTTTGGTAACACTGATTGTACTCATTGGTCATGCCAATAAAGCACCTTGAATTGAATTGAGAGAAAGGGAAGAGAGAGGAGTGAGAGAAGAGAGGGAGGGGAGAAAGGGAGGAGAGTGGAGAAATAGGGAAGAGAAAGAGGAGGGAGAGAGAGGAGGGAGAGGGAGGAGAGAGACAGAGGGAGAAAGGGAGGAGAGAGGAGTGAGAGAAGAGATGGAGGGGAGAAAGGGAGGAGAGTGGAGAAATAGGGAGGAGAGAGAGGAGAGAGAGTTAGGAGGGAGAGGGAGGAGAGAGAGGAGAGAGAGAAGACAGGGAGGGGAGAAAGGGAGGAGAGTGGAGAAATAGGGAGGAGAGAGAGGAGGGAGATGGAGGGAGATGGAGGGAGGAGAGAGATGGAGGGAGAAAGAGAGGACAGAGATGGAGAGAGGAGAGAGGGAGGAGAAAGATGGAGAGAGAGGAGAGAGAGGGAGGAAAGAGACGGAGGCTCACTGGGTCGCTCTGGTACTCCCGGCTGTACAGCTCGTGACAGTTGTTGAAGATGTACTCATACGTGGAGTTCAGGCAGGCCTTGACACAGTCCTTCACCACCTGGCTGGCCCGGGGCGGGCTCTGCAACTCCTGGACCTGGGGCACGGAGAGGGAAAACTGTGAGAAAGGAGAGAATGGAGAGGAAGAGAGAAGAGGAGTGGAGAGGACTGGGGAGGAGAGGCTTACCTTCATTCTGAAGAAGGTGATGCTGGTGAGCAGGTCCACAGTGGACTTCAGATCCTGCAGCCTCTCTGGACTGCTGGCGGGGAAGTTGTTCTGTGCAAACAGACAGACAGGGGGACAGACATGGGTGCACACCGTCAGACAGAAGGCACAAAGTGAGCTGTGGTGGATCCAGTCTTACTTTTAAAAACATAGCTCCTGCCTCCAACCTCAGTAAACCACAGCTCCCAGTGCCTAAACCACTGAACACTTGTCTCTGTGCGTGCTGTTAAAATCAGCCTCTGCAAAGGCTGCTGGGTCATTGATGGGCAAGGTCTTGGGAGCAGACTACTGAGCATCCTGGGATTGGCAGCGGGGAGGCAGGGATGTTGGCTGAAGTAACTGTCCTGTGTTCAGAGAGCGTGTGACAGTGTGGTCAGCCTTACCCTGTACATCGAGAGGTCAATCCTCAAGGAATTGTGCAGCTGGTCCAGGAGTTTCACAAACCTCTCTTTCTGCACAGGACAAATGACACAAAACAATCAGTCAGCGCAGCATATATGACCACTGTGTTATTACACTCTTGCAGTAGGCAGATCCTGAAAAGTGAAGGGTTGTCTTTGTGAGTACAAAACCAGGCGGTTCATCACTCGCTTCTGGCTGGTTTGTATTCATACCTGTGTGTTTACACTGTATATATCTAAATATGCTCATATGCATGTATTGTGGAGCTTGGTCCACTGCCTCTGTGGCTATGGCTATGTGACTGTGAAGTTGAGGCAGCGAGGCAGTGGAACGTACCCCAAAATTGGAGGCGGAGAAGCGGTCAGAGGCAGAGACATTGGTGGAGGCGGTGGTGTGGGCGTAGTAGGCGTTGATGTTGGCGAGCAGCGTGCTCATCACCGCAGGCACGCCTGGGCACATGTACTTCGAGGACAGGCAGGCAAAGTGTCTGTGGGAAACAAGGAAAATACAGTTTGAACTGTAATCTGTGGACGAGGGTCCAGAAGTGCCTTCATATCCCTGATATGAACTGCAAGCCTGTATATCTGCTCAGGCCTGCACAGTGTCAGCAGCCTACGGTTTAGGATCCTTCTCATGGGCTCTCCCATAGTGGCACAGTCCGGGACCTGACAAGCTCAGAAGAAGCTCTTCTTGATCTGCCCATTGACCAAAGTGCACTTTAGGTTACACTTAGTGGGTGAAGAGATACTCCTATGATCCTGCAGACTTGATTCTTTACCTTGGCTGCCTTGTGCTCGTGACACCTGGTTACAAGATCCCAGAGCATCCATACCGTTTCCCTGACTCCACACTCACGTCATCGCCTGGTAGATGGACTCCACGCCGTAGCGCATGGCAAACTCATCCACGATCTCCTGCGCCGTCTCCTCATAGTAAACCTTCCAGGCATCATCCCCCTTGGCGTCTGGGATCTTCACCACACCGGTATTCTGAATGTCTGTCACGTAGTGGAACAGGTTCTGCACAGGGGGCACACAGGCAGAGAGGGAGAGAGGGCTGGTGGAAGAGTGTCACTGAGGCAGGCAGAGCAGAGATGACTGTCTCAGTGATATGTGCTGACCTCGTGCAGACAAGTGTACTGTACGTGATACGGCGCCACCTTCTCCTCGCCCTTGATCTCCACACTGATGTGCAGCCGGATCGCCCCCGACACTGCGGACTTGTCTGTGCGCTTGTCTGAGCAAGAGATGAGACACAGATTCATCGTCCACCCCTCCATCACCTGATCATTCCTCTCTCCCTGCCATCTCATCCCCCCTCCGGGTGACTGACCCAGATTGTACCAGACATCCATCTCTCCGCTCAGCGTGCGGACCTCGATGATGGTCTGACCCAGGAAGTCGTCGGACTCCCTCTTGAACCGCTGCTTCACTCGGGACTTGATGTCGTCGTCCTCGTCCCACACTCGAACCTTGATCCGGTCCGAAGAGTTGTGGCATTCGCTGAGAAGACGCAGAGAGAGAAGATGAGAGGGCAAGAGACGAGAGTGGAGGGGAGGGAAAGAAGGAAGGAGGAGAGAAAGAGAGAGCAGGGAATGCAAAGGCTTTCCAAAACTTCTGGCAAGAACTATGGGGTGACACCTAGCCAGCACCCAAAGAGCAGCGCTGTCACGTGGACCGAGAACAAGCTGGCATGTTGTAAACCTGGATCTTTCAAGGCCTGCAGAGAAAGTCCACAGCCCAGCACTGGGGATGATAATGGCTGCACTGCTGCAAAGGGTCGCTTGCCTTTGGGGAGGGGCTGTTGTGCCCTGATCTGTACTCACAAGTGGAAGTTCTCCTCCCAGACAGGGTTCAGGTTCCCGTAGATGGTTTTGGTCCTCTTCTTGGTCTTGCCCACCTGCACGGTAACATAGGGGTCGCTGGAGCCCGTCTTGTCCTTGGCCTGTAGACCCTGGGCACAGACCACTGCAGGGGATGGGCAGAGGTGCCAGGAGGTTAGCGAGCTACTACTTACAAACCAAGTGTAAGATTCCTATGGATGTAATGTAAATCAATCTAGCCTTCATCAACACACCATCATTTTCCTTACTTAAGCCCTCCCCCATCCTGTCATGGCCTCTCCTTCTGGGATTTATCCTCTCCTTCCTGACATGGCTTTAGTCCAGACGCATCAGCTGGTGCTTCCCTGACGGGTCCTTACTGCCTCTTGCCTTCAGCCCTTCCTTCCTCCACTCTAACATCTCTCCCCCTCTCTCGTGTTGCCCCTGCCTCTGCTTGTCTCCAAAGGAGTCCACCCCTCCTCCTCTCTCTGACTCACGGGCCGCCCCTGACTCCCAACCCCCCTGTCTCCCCTCCCTCCCCTCCGCCTCCTCACCGGTGATGCTGATCTTCGCCGACCACTTGGAGGTGCCGTCCAGCACGCTCTGCTTGATCTGCTTCATCTGCTGCGCGTGGGAGGCCTTGGGCACCCCGAACACCTCCTGGATCAACTCGAAGATCTCCGGCTTGTTCCGCTCCCGGATCTTCATCCGGTCCTTCAGGACCATGATGATGTTCTGGGTCCGGTCCTCGGCTCCGTGCTTGGAGCTCTTCTCCGCCGCCCCTGGGCGCGAGAGAGAGGGGGGTTAGGAAGTGAGCGAGAGGGAGCTGCGGACAGGGAAGGGCGCGAGACCGGAGTCTAGAGGCGTCTCTCTCTCTCTCTCACTCTGCAGGCAGTCGGCGTTGAGCAGGTCCTGGCATTTCTCGTGGCACTTCACCCCACACTCCGTGCAGCGCATGCCCTGCCGCGCGATGCCCCACAGCAGCCCCTCGCACTCGTAGCAGTAGGTGGGCGTGGTGGCCGTCCACACCTCGAAGTTGTGCGGCGTGGTGCAGGAGATGGGGTAGATCAGGGCCTGTAGCGTCTTGCGGTAAACGTGGTTCTTCTGCAGAGACACCGTCACAAAGTCAGATGGACGGGCTATCATGCGCTCAGACGCTGTCAAACTGACTGACAGGTCAAAAGTCCCGGCTCGCCATCAGGTACCCAGTTAGAACCGGGCTCACGGCCCGACAGCCAGACCCACCAACTCCCACGCAAAGGAGTCGGGCGAATGTGTAGATTTCAGACAGACACACTCACCAGCTCCTCGTTGTTCAGTGTGCTGGAGGCCAGCGCTGAGGTGATGCCTGCCTTACGAGACTGGACCAGGGACTGCGGGGAGACAGAGAGAGAGTGTGCGCGAGAGGGGGTTGGAGAGAGAGCTCACTTGTGCCACCCGTGAAGCTGCATCTCTCTTCAAATCCCAGACTGTGTTCATACACTCCCATGAGTGAAAGGAAAATGAGTACTCACCATTGCCTGGGGCCGGTCAGGAGGGATGAGGAAGAAAACACAGAAGCGTTAGACAAACAAGCTCAGTTCCTGCAGCTCAGACAAAACAACACCAACAACGACAGACAGGGAGAAACACAGGACAGCCGGAGAGTGTTAGGGAACGGGAGGAGAAAAAGAGACCACTGATGAAGGGAGGGACAGGGACTGAGGAACAGATATACAGGAAGACAGAAGAGATACAGTGAGGAAAGGCGCAACTGAGAGAGAGGAAGAGAGAGGGGAGGAGGAGCAGGTGCCTTTCAGGCAGACTGCCCAGGCCTCAGACACGCTTACACTGGTATGTACCTGTAAGCATGGCATCATTACAGAACTTTATGTGTGATTTTTTTTACCGTTAAGCTTTGTCTGAGACTGTCCACTACCAGGCTGCAGAACTCTAACTCTCCACGGCCCATATGACTAATTGGCATCGGGCAGTAAACGTGTCTGAGATTGCCAGGGCAAGGCAGTAAAAGGCTGGGGGCCCCTAGTGGTGGGAGGAGTGAAAGCTGGAGCCACAGTGCAGCAGCCCTGATCTACACTGCAAAAAGATAACTAAGCCTGGGGAAAATCACTTCTCGGCTGACCTACCACACTTTGGTATTCTGATAATTACGATATCTGTGATATCATCCCTCTGTTTGCAAATAACCACTTCTGCCTGCTTGATTTTATTTCTTTGGAAAATAAAACTGGAATAATTTTACCTGAAATTCCATGCTTCCTGGTTTTCCAGGCAAAAGAAAACAATATAGAAAAATCTGTAATGAACTGAATCAGTAGAGTCATTGGAAAATTAAAAATAAGAGGGGTGGGGGGATGGGTGTGGCTCAAACTTCCCTGTCTCCCAGATCTACCAATCAGCAACAGCAGCGAGTCAGCCAATCAGAATCCACTCCCACTCCCAGCCAATAAGAGGTCTCTCTTGCTGCAGTGATCGATGATCCAGGGCGTGGCAACGCTGGAGTCCCTGTAGCGGGTGTGTTCCCTAAACTGACACCTCTGATCTGTGCGTGTTGAGCTGCTCTGTGAAAAGCACGCTCATAACCTAGGGATGCCTTGACAGGACAATGAAAGGGATCATTTTAAATTTCCTGCACTGTTTGCTCATTTTTGCAGCAGCTTTCTTTGCTTTGTCATGTTTCTCTGCAGTTTGTGTGGCAGCTGACTGTAGCTCAATGCGATGCACTTCACAGTGATGCATTTCTTTTCTCTGTTAGCACGATGTTCCCCAGAAAGGACCTGTAAGGAAGGCACCCTGGTGTACAGGTCAGTGCTTCCCAATCTTGGCTATAAGTGGTGCCATAGATTCTTTAAGTCACCTGTTGTCCTCACTCATAGAGCCTTGGCTACATCAGGAAGGGATTTGATAGAGGTGTCTGAGTCGTATACTACAGTGCTGTAGGGCCTGTACTAATAATACCCTGCTGGCTGGGTTGTGGTTCTGTCCAGAATGGATTCTGTTAGCATTGCAGGCGGGTCACTGGTGACGCACTGAAGCTTTACTTTTTTATAAATTTAGAATCACTAATTGGTTTTGTTACAGTACATCCACCTGATTTTGGAATCGTGAATTATGTGCTTTTCACACCTTGGCGCTCAGCTAAAAACCCCACGATCGCACACAGGGGAGAGTGAGGAAGTGTAGGCAGACTCCTCTGCCCCGCCCACCTTTGAGCCAATCATCTTTTAACACATCACATCCAGCTCCGCCCCGTACGGGAAGAACAGCTCTGATTGGAGGAGAGGTGTGTCACTCACAGCATTGCGAGCCTGCAGGCCCCCAAGAGGCTGCAGGGATCACTGTGAGAGTAGAGTCATCCCTGCAGACTGACCTCACCCCCAGCAGTGCTCAGGCAACTGTGCGCCACCACCTGGGGAATTCCCATCACAGTCCGCTAGTGACAGGGCCCAGGCTCGAACCCGCAATCACAGAGCTCAGCCTGTACTGGTTGAGCCACTTAGGAGGCCGACAACCGAAGACTTCTACCTCAGTGTTGGCTCTTCACGGGGCTTTTGTTTCTAAATTCGTTTACTGGTTCCTTTGATTTGAATTTTTTAATTTATCTAAAACAACTGCAGTTAAAAGAATGTTTAAAATGAGATCCTGTAAACCAAAAAAGATGTAAAAGAAAATAATTCTTATTTTTACTGTGACTTGTGCTGTGGAATTCAGACTTTATTGGTGTATATACAGTATAACTCTCTAAAAGTGGAAATGGGAATGCAAGCCACCAGAGAGCAGCCAATCGCACGATGTGCCACAAGTCACATGACAGAGAACAAAGTCACATGGGAAGAAAATCGCTGTCTCCTTCAGAGGGGCGGGGCCCTGCACTGCCCAGCCACACCCAGTGTTGCCAGGCCATCCTCAGCCTGGCACTGCAGTTAACACAGGGGAGGGGCAAGGGCCCTCCCCCTGAAGAGACAGTACAGGAAAGCGCACAGAGACACAGAGGCAGAGAGAGAGGGACAGAGCGAGAGGGAGCTTGGGTTCCAGAGATCACACTGGTTTAGGGTTTGGCAGCACTCAAAATACAACAACTGACCCACTGCGTTCAAACATACAGCACATACGAAAAAAATAAATAAATAAAAAGAAATCAAGGGGGTAAAACAAAATGCATAACATCTGGTTTCAAAGACTTAAGGGGGTGTGAGGAGGTGAGATACAACCCCACAGTCCTGCCCTGGAAGTGGGGAGTCCTGCACAGCTCAGGTCCTGGTTTGGCCTGTGGGTCTGACTGTGCAGCACAATAATTCCAGCCTTGCCCTGAGCAAGCAGGACCAGAAGGAACAGGACAGAGCCAGGATTTGCCTCTACACTGGCTCATGATCTCCAGGCCCATGAGCTCTGGTGACCAGTAATAATAATAATATAATAAAAATAATAATAATAATAATAATAATAATAATAATTGCTTACACTTATATAGCGCTTTTTCTGGACACTCCACTCAAAGCGCTTTACAGGTAATGGGGATCCCCTCCACCACCACCAATGTGCAGCCCCACCTGGATGATGCGACGGCAGCCATAGTGCGCCAGAACGCTCACCACACATCAGCTCTCAGTGGGGAGGAGAGCAGAGTAATGAAGCCAGTTCATAGTGGGGGGTTATTAGGAGGCCATGATTGGTAAGGGCCAATGGGAAATTTGGCCAGGACACTGGGGTTACCCCCAGTACAGAAATGTGCAACTTCAAAATCCTGTAACACACAAGGGGTCAATTGAGTTGTCATTCACTGTGACAGCCAGCATTTATCTGCATCGCTTTTTGCTGTTTTGACTTTCAAGATTTCCATGGCAACCAGCTGGAATCCAAACTTCCTGTCAGTGCTGCCCAGGCAGGAAGCCGGCATGCAGCAGGGGGCGTGTCCACAGATGACCGTCGCTCGATAAAGGGGCGGCGCCCTTCTCATGGGCAGGTGGCACAGAGTTCTCATCAAACTTAGTGTTCGATCTCCTTCAATCAATTAATCAATTAAGACAAATCGTTAACTTCAGCTTTTCCAGGAAAACCGGGAAGACTATGGAATTGATTTCTTGGATGGTTTCTGTTTTTCTGTGGACATTATTTTCACTACGTCTTAAATATTGCTCTTGCTCCAATTTGGCTTATGCTAGATATGTGCTGACCCACGAGAAAATTGTGCGTAGCAGAGTGTTAATGCGTCACAGACACAGGCTGGATACTTGATCAGACACATGAGAGAGAACCGCAGTGTAAAACCTGCTTTTATGAATGTATTGCATCATCCATATGTATTGGAATCTATAGTTCTAAGGTATTTACTAAGATCCATAAGAAAGATGACAAATGTGACGAGGCCTTTCGTACAATCTGGGCCTTCGCACTGCTAGTAAACAATCGAACTGCGGATCTCGCCTGGTCTTTTCTTCCAAGGAGTCCAAGGGTCAACAGCACGGTTGACTGTCCTGTTCCTGACCCCTACAACTCTTTGTGCTCAGTAGTCTCAGTTCTCACTGCCCCTTCCTGTGACTTGCATCCACCTGCTGATGCTGGAGAAGGCCAGGACAGCTCTGGGATTCTCCACCCTGCCTCTGTGCAGAGGTTATTGCCGGGAGCCAGCTGGATGGGATGGTAGCAGGCACAAAGGAGTATGAGAGGTGTGTGGCCTGGCTGTCTCAGGCTAGGGGAAGGGCTCGCTAGCAGAGTTTCTGTGGCCAGGGAGGCTGCACCACCCCTGTCCTGTGGTGAGCTCACCAGGTCGCTGACAAAGGGGAGGGACTTGCGGCGGGGCTTAATGTCGGGCATGCTGTCAATGCTACGCAGGAAATTAACCGCGGCTCCTCTGCTCACACAGCGCAAAACCCAAAACCAGAGAGACACACAGAAACATCCACAGGGTCAGAGAGCAGCGACACACAGCTCAGGAAACCAGGAGTCAGGAAAAGAAGAAAGAAAAACGATAAGGCAGATCCAGAAAAACCAACACGAAGCTAAAAAATAAAAACAGAAGGCAAGTGGAGGAGTCTCCCGACAGCAGCCGTTCCTGCAGAGGAGAGTCTGTGATCCAATCAGCCGGGAGGGGGGAGGGTCAGTGAGCCAATCAGGCGGGAGCGAGGAGAGTCTGTGAGCTAATCAGGTGGGAGGGAGGAGGTTCAGTGAGCCAATCAGGTGGAAGGGAGGGCAGTCAGTGAGCCAATCAGGTGGAAGGGAGGGGAGTCAGTGAGCCAATCAGAAAAAGAAAGAGGAGAGGGGGGTCGCTGGGTTCACAAGGAGCTCAGAAGGATGTGGAAATTTCAAGGGACACTTAAGAAGCCCTTGAGCCAATCTGAACACAAAAGGAGACATCAGTGAGTCAATCAGTAAGCAAGAGCAGAGGGTCACTGAACACACCAGTAATTACTGGCACCAGGGGGTGCCAGGATCCAACTAGGAGAGAGCTAAGAAGCCAATGATCTGATAATGAACTTAGTGGGACGAGCCATTCCAAAAAAAGGGGGGACAATTATCATACAAATCCAATCGAAAGGAAGAGGAGGATTTAGTTAACCGATGCAGGCTGAAATGGTGTGGTCAGTAAGCTAATGAGAGGAAAAAGGAAAGAAAATCACAAACTGTAAGTTCAGAAAATGCACAGAGAGAGAAAGAGAGGTTGGTAGAGAGACCGCAGAAGGGACGAGAGTGTGGGAGAAATGAGATGAGCTTCAGTGAAGGGGGAGGTTAGTTTGGCACAGTAAGGAGGGGCGCTTCTGGCTCCTAAGGGGAAGGATATTTTTTCAGGGAAAGAAGACGAGGGGGATGGGGTGTCATAGCTCTCACCAAGTCTCTAACTAGAGGGATGGCTTTCCTCTTTCGGAGGTCCGGCATGCTGTCTATGCTATATAGAGCACCGCCTGGCCTGTGGAGAAACAGCAACACCACCGTAAGGGACCCCAGACACCCCCCTGGGGCAATCAGACTGGGGTACAGGGACAACAAGAGCCCGCGTGAGTTATACAGCTCACAACATTTAACCCGTAGTAAAATGTTCTGGGGTAATAATAGGTTGAACCAAGCCCCACATTCAAGACAGATTTAAGGGTCAGACTTTGTAGGGGGAGGAGGATAACCCAACAAATACAAAACTCAAGAGATTTTCCACCTGAGCAACTTCCCCCAGATAACAGAGGCTTTAAGCAACACCTGACTCTGAAAAGAGCTTTAACAAGGAGATTTAAGACTTACCTGTATGAGCAATATAGACAGATAGCACAGGGAAAGAATTAATCAGCACCCTTTCCTCTTTCTCACACACATAACAGGGGAGGCTCCTCTTGCTGGATATGTCCTCGTGACATTCCCACATAGTCGATACCTGGGTGCCTCAAAAGGAGCAGCTAATTGTTCCTGTAGGCAGTGTGTTATCGGAGGAAAGGAAAATCTCGTTCTCTGCGATTCAAAGATTAAGGCTGCCAAGACGTTACGACGCAGTTGATGTGAGCAGTGGGATACTGTTCACAGCTCCATGGCAGATGAGCATTGCTCGTATCCAGATCCACCCAAGACTCAGCAATGGGTGTACCGGTGAGGGTGGGTTTATCTTGGGGGATCGGATCCAGTGGGGGTTATAACACCCTCCTGATTCACACATAATTCAAGACTATTAAGTAATTCTTCAGGCCCCTGGGCAGAACATTTATGAGGGTCTGAGACAAGTTTCGCTTGTGATCAGCAGTGTCACAGCTGGAGAGAGAGACTGGGCTAAAAGGTTTACAGATACAAACATGCAAAATGGCTTTCCCTGTTGACATAGCTCTTGATGATCTTTATGAACAGCCGTCTAAGGACTTTAACGAAGTGTGCCAATGAGACAACGTAGTGAAACGTAGTCTCCTCAGCACTGCTACAGTGAGACAGGCTGGCAGAAGTCTTAAACCACCTCTTCCCATCCCTCAAGCAGCCTGCCTCCCTCTCTCTCACTCTCCCACGCACTCGCTCCTGCTCTCTGTCATGACACTACTGAGCTCTGGGCATCGAGACAGGCAGCTGCCTCACAGCAGAGAACTGGAAGGCAGTGAGGAAGAGAGGGAGAGAGAACGGTGAGTGTGGATCGATCTGCTACTCTCTTACTCCACTACAGCAGCACAGCACTGACCACTGAGACGCAGCACTGAAAACATCTCAACATTTCATCACATCAAAATGAATCTGACAAATATAGACTGTTGTTTCAATTCCTCATGAGAGGAGGAAACAGACCAGCAATCTTAAACTCCATTTGGCATCTTTTGCTACAAGAGCTCACTGCATTTCAATAGCAAAGTACTACCCACTTGTCCCGACTCTTCACAACAGCATGCTATAAACCCAGCTGTGTGTTTGGAAGCAATCAGACACCACCACTCATGCACACGTCTTTAAACGAATTTGACAATGAACCCACAGACTACCAGTCAGAAGACGCTCACTTTAGTGTGCATAGCTGTACCCCAGCTTTGCACTGTTTCAGTCACATCTCCAAATAACTGAACCAGACTGAGCAAAACCAGGGTCTGGCAGCTGGCACTTGGGGGTGCACTCCCTCAAAGATCAAGAGGGGTGACCGTCACCTGAACCCACAGACACACCGTGAGCCTCATCATATCAACTATAAGATACCCACCCCTTCTATGGGCACTTACAGGACAGGTCTCTGGGCATAACGAGCAGCAGGTAGCCTGGCTACAGTTCTGTGCAGTACTGAACTCTACACTGTGCTGCGGTATTTCAACTTGTCTGTTGTTGATCCCAGACCTGTGGTACCCTACTGCCTGGAGTTGTGGAAGTGAAAATGGAGACTTACCCGCCTTTAAACCACAGCGACTGAGAGCCAGCTCCCTCTCCTCGGGCCTGCAGAGAAAGAGACAGATCAGGGAGGGAGTGTCATTCCCCCAGACTACAGTGGTACTAGGGGTCAGCACTTACAGTCTGACTGACCCTCTGACCTCAACCAAGTAGAACGCTTTTCTTAGAGTGACAAACATTGTGCTTCTGGCTGATTCCTGATTACGGAATGGAACTGACTTTGCTTGTAACAAACCAACAGATCAGATCAATCCTGCTGAATATCCCAGCCTGGCAGACTGGCAGTCTACTCAGGACTACAAACATTCTTTCAATATTTCTACTTACGTTTACTTCTTTAAACCAACTGATTCTTACATAACAGTGGGGACAGTTAACAGCAATTACAATCTCGCTTTTGTACTTAATGAAACATGGCTTCTTTTTTTGGCAAAACAGCAGTTTCTTTTTTAATATTGAAGAGAGATACAAGATGTGAAGAAGGGTTTAACTGATTCCCTTCTGCATGAGGACTGGTCTTCTAAGTAACAGGCTAGAGTTAAAGCCGGAAAGGGGGATGACTGATAAGGATTCCAGATGCCAGCTAGGAAACCCCCATGGACAGTAGACACCTAGAGCCCTGACCATTTGGCCAAATGTCTGTGAACTGTCCAAATACCATGACTTCCCCCCTTTACCATAGTAATGAGCTACGTCAGAAGTGGCAGAAAAGGGCTATATAAACTGGAAGTTTTGTACTGGCACTTTGAACAATACTTCGGTTTTATTGTTCCTTGCATGCAATATGCAAGAACTTATTTTTCTGTTACAACAATATCATGTGAAGCCTTTTGTTTAACCAAGAGCATAAACCCGGTATTTAAATCTCATTCACAGCACTGTTCCTTCCCCCAGCTGTGGGCGGGGAAAACATCCCAAAAGGCCAATCACACAGCCGTCAGCCTGGCTTGATGGCCCAATCAGCACACAGGGCCTCACACACACCCACCTGCCAGCCTGCTCCAGCACCCGCCAATGACAGAGGACAACATGAAAATCGCTATGGAAACGTCAAAAAACTGGAAAAAAAAACAACAGAAGCGAAACAGAGATGGGGAAACAAAATGTTTTTAAAAAAAGGGATGAGAGACAAAAATGTGCATAAAAATAACAATGATAATAATTATAATAAAACAATAAGCACAACCAAATCAGAAGAAGAAGCAGGCGAGGCGGGCAGTCAGGGGGAAGGAGGCCGAGCAGGAGGTGTATGAAGGGCCGCAAACCCCAGATCCTGGAGACAGGAGGGCTACCGGGGGGTCGCAGAGGTGGGAGAGACGGAAACAGACCGGAGAGACCTTAGAGACTGGGGATACTGGAGATACTGGAGAGACTGAAGAGACCGGAGAGACCAGAAAAGACCGGAGAGATGGATAGAGACTGGAGAGATTGGAGAGACCAGAGAGACTGGAGAGATGGATAGAGACCGGAGAGATGGATAGAGACTGGAAAGACTGGAGAGACCAGAGAGATGGATAGAGACCGGAGAGACAGGAGAGATGGATAGAGAGTGGATGGACTGGAGAGACTGGAGAGGTAGGATCAACAGAAGGGATGGGAGAGATCGGAGAGGTGGGAGAG